GCTGGGGATAGCAACGCCTTACGACCGGCTTGGCCGGGAATTGGGGGGAAGGGAGAACTGAATCTAAGATGTTCCAGAGCGACGGTGTGTCTCATAGGTTGCGAGGTTGAACAGACATTGACCGTTGAACGTTGGTTGAATCGCTCGGACCACGTGTCCGAAAACGCATCAACGCATCAACCGTTGATCAACCTCGCACACGCGTTTCATCCTCTCTCTGCTTCAAGTTGTCCACTTACACCCCATGGAAAGCCCCAGTACTACTAGTCCAGGATGGCAACAGTTTCACGGGTTTTAGCGGAGGAAGGAAGGCCGACCGGTGCACAGCATGCGCCTAGGCGGCGTCAACACCACGCGAGTATCATGTGTGCGTCGCCATCGCGCACATGCCGTCCAATGATCCCCTTATCTGTTCCCCGGTTTAAAGGTACCGAATCCTTCCTGGATCGCTTCACGCACCTTCCCTGCGCCCCCACTCGTTTTCACCCCCGCGGCCATGTTGTCGTCGTTCGTTATGTTGGCCGCCTCCGCGGTCCTGGCCAAAGCCGCCTCGTGCGTCCCCTTCCCCTCGTTCAACGGCCATTACTGAAGGAAGGCGATAGTGACCCATGCACGGTCGCCTCAGCGTCAACTTGGGTGTCGAGCAAAGCCGCGCACGCTTGCGAGCTCAACGTTCCCTTCAACAAGACCCGCAGTTTGGCTGTTGTCGACTCGAATCTCAAGGCGCTGCCCTGGTACTCGCTCGAGACCTGGTTTGAGCACTCGCCAAACCCGCTTATTCCCCACGACGTGAACATCAGCTCCCTGTTGCGAGGTCCGTTCCCTATCTCGTCGCTACTCCTTCACGCTGACGGGAAAATGCAGCGGTCCAAAAAAAAGCTTCCACCTCAGGTTACAAAACTGACTGGGACTTCAACGTCGCGGTGCGTTGCTATATTCCTCGTTTCCATTCTTGTCTGACGCTGTGCCAGGTCACAGACGCATGGAACAGAGAAGCAGACGGCCACACACTCTTTTCTGCGGCGTGCACGGAAGCCTTCAGCTACAATCTCCCCTTTTCCATCGCTACCCTCGCTTCGAGCCCCACCTCACGCACCGCGTACCCCACCTTCCTTCAAAACTACGATTTTCCCGGCCAAGGCCGCACGGGGCTCGAGGCGTACTTCAAGTCCCTTGGCGTGGACGTCCGTCCCTACGACGGTGTGCGCATCCTCGCCATCAACGGCGTCGATGCTTCGCAGTACCTTGTTGATCTCGCGACCGAGTCGAGCATTTACAAGGGCCTCGTCGGCGCGTATGAAACTGTGAACCCGCGGTACATGCGCCTGATGTCGAGATATTCCGCTGGTAAGTATCCCTACAATTTTCACGTAGTGGATACCTGACGTCGATTCTAGACACTGTGTCCGGTTCTTTTACCCAAGAAGTCGGCCGCTTCGGACAGCGCGCGTTCTACCCCGGCGCTGACTCCGTCAGCGTGCTGCTTCAGACCACCAAGGGTCTCAAGACCCTCACCGTGCCGTGGGCCGCAACCTTCGTCGGCACTGGCAACACCACCGCGGACTTCATCGCACAGACCTGCAACCTCCCCGCCGCGGATTCGCTCCAACGCAAGCGCACCGTGGAGGAGCGCGCGGACTCGATCCCCAGCTTCATTACCCGCAAGAAGGGCGTCGTGCGCCCCGACAACCAGGGCCCCGTCCGCAACAGCGCCGCCAAGTCCGTCGCTGCGCCTGCAAACTACGTCCAACCAAACCGTGCGTCTCCCCCTGGCCCTTTTCGCGATCACACATGCTAATTGACTACTCAGTGACCTCCTTCGGGCACATCACGACCCTCGACGTCTACCAGCTCGCCGCGCACCCACACGTCGGCGTGCTCTACTTCGAGCAGTTCGAGCCCAGCGACGGCACGGACTTCACCACGTACATCAACGGCATCTCCGCGACGCTCTACGACGGCCTCACCAAACTCAAGGCTGCCGGCGTCAAGCACGTTTTGATCGACAACTCGGGCAACCGCGGCGGGTACATCTTCGCGGGCGCCGTGGCGCTGTGGAGTTTGTTCCCGACGGATCGGTATCCCGGGTTCCCTGCGGTGCTCAGGGATACGGAGCTCACACGGCAGGAGTCGGTCGCCGCGGCTGCGGGTGCGGGGGATCAGAACAGCGAGTACTTTTACGGGTTCTACCGCGATGTAAGTTTTCCCGCTTTTTGTGGGCATGAGATTTTGAGACTGATTCTGTTGCGGCAGCTGGAGTACAACCTCTTGACGAACAACAGCCAGTTCATGGACCCGCCGGTGCCCAAGACCGTCAACGGGATCAAGGACGCCTACTCGCAGCCCTTCTTCGACGACTTCGGCGCCGCGTCGGACGTGACGAACTTCACCGCGCCCGCGCTCGACGGCATGGACTACGTCCTCGTCGCCAACTCCATCTGCGCGTCCACCTGCTCGTACGTTACCCTCCTCCAGCTCCTTCCGCCTTCCGCCTTGCTAATCAATAAATCATCCCAGCGTGTTCTCCTCATACCTCTTCCAGAAGCACGGCGTGCGCTCCGCGGTCTTCGGCGGCACGCCCAGCGCCACGACCTCGCAGTTCGACGGCGGTGTCAAGGGGTCAGAGGTGACCGACTTCGGCTCCGTCGTCGCCGAGCTCGCCCTCGCGGGCCTCAGCGACGCGCCCGGCGCGCCGCAGCCCTTCCCCATCAACGCGGACCTGAGCCTGAATTTCCGCAACGCGATCCCGTACGTCGACGCGCAGGACGGGATTCTGGAGTACGTGTGGGAACAGGGGACGAAGAAGTATCAGTTCACGCCGCAGCTGTTCAATAAGCCGCAGGCGATCTGGGAGTTTGTCGCGGAGGAGTTCTTTGGCGCGAACTGAGCTGTTGTGAGTATAAGTGTTGTATGAGTTTTACTGGGCTGTATGTTAGATACCTTAATGCACGTGAGGGTCTGTATTCCGTTGCTGGGTTCGCGCATAAATATTAATGATAAGCCACTGCCAATTATCTGAGCACTGTACGAGGCATTTCAACAGCTAAGACTTTACTCCGGAACAAAATCGTCCATTCAGTTGATCACTAGTTCGATTGTGGGAGAGATACATAGCTGCCACTGAAGGTGCGGTGTTCAGAAGTCGCCTACGGTCGTATTCTTAGAGGAATTTGGAGCTGGATGGATGCAGCCGAGAGCTCTCGGCTCGTGAAACGTTACCAACACTTCGACGTTTGTCCTCACAACTGATAAAATTAGACAGGGGCTTATTTGCGTCTGCTGCGTGGCTCGGCATTTGCCGGTGCTCCTTGTCCCAAGCCGCCATGTCCACATCTGGCGCCCCAATACAAGAAGTGGTCCCATCTCTTCCGCCCGAGTTGGAACGCTGTATATTCCAGTGCGCAGCCCTCTCCCGACCGGTGGACATCCCGACACTGATGCGTGTCGCGTGGCGTGTCAAGAATTGGTGAGAAAGCACAGCGAGTCACCCAAGATCGTTGTATGTCTCACGATGTTTCTAGGGTAGAGCCTCTTCTGTACCGAACGATGGTCGTCGGAATCAAGGCGATCGATGGGATTCCCCAGTACACGCCGACAAAGTTTTCCCGCTCGACCGACTTCGGCCAGGCTGTTCGCAACATACTGATCACCACATCCAAATGCGAGACCATGTCGATGCTCATGCATCTCTTCCCTTCCATGGAGAACCTCTACCTCAAGTTCCACGGAGCATTGCCAAATGTTGCGCACGGCGGATTCAACTGCTTAAAGCAGCTGTATGCCAGTCCCCGCGTTTTTCTCGCCGTAGTGCACCCAACAGGCTCGGCGCACTTTGCCAATCTCACACACCTGGAGCTTTTCCTCGGCATGGCGCCCGACCGCGACGAATCCCCCACGGAGAATCTCGCTCGCTGGACAGTTCTAAGCAAACTTCCCAAACTCACGCACCTGGCGGCCGCGTTGCCGAGCATGGATCCTGCCGGGATCGGTTCTATGGTCTTATTGGACTGCAAATCCCTGCGTGCGCTCATCGTCTTCGATATCCAGCCCGGCCCCTCGCCCATGATGGACAGCCTGGCAAGCGACCCTCGCTTCATGATGATGATGGTGCAGAACCACACCGCGGACTGGCAGCAAGGTGTGCTTACGGGTGACGATTACTGGGCGCGCGCCGATGCATTTATTGCGAAGCGCAAGGCGGGACACATTGATCGTGCGTTTGGCATTCTGATATGTGAGATGTAACTGACCAGAACTTTTCATTAGCTTCCACATTTTTTGTGGACGAGAGGAAGATCAAGTGGAAGACCCACTGGGCTGAATGATGGCGGACTCATCCCAGCACCTATATATCCCGTGTTCGTGCGAGGCTACAAGTCGTCCCTGTTATGCGTTTTTATTCATCTCGTCCCGCGATGCCCTTGCCGTCTCGTCATCGGTGTGCGACAATCTCCATACGACGCAGGCCCTTCCTTGTCACTCGACCCCGTTTTCCTTGTCCGCCGGCCACATCTGTCCTCCATAATCTGCTTGCCGAGAACCTGCTCCTGCGCGGCGGCAACATCTTGAACTAGGGAAATTTCCAGATGGGTTCGCTGGCCTCAATAACATCAGGATCTCCATCCTCATTGCAGCCAAGCGGGTCTAGTCTCATTGTCTTCCAACGCGGCCTGTTGGCGTGGGCCATCTCGCCCCCCATCTATCCCCAATATTCACTCCGTATTTCCTCTGCCAGGTGACGCTGCTCCACGTCTGTGTTTTTTTTGCTCTCGCGGTGAACCAATGCTCAACTTGCTGTGGGCAGCTCTGTGAGTCTGTTGCCATGTCAATTGATGTCTGGTCATTGAGAAAGTTATCGGATTCCATGTTCGTAGAACAGTGGCGACCGTGAGCTGAGCACACTCTCTCTCTCTCGTTGTCACATGGTTATGTGCGTGCGGGACATCTTAGATAACAGGTAGCAAAAAGAACAAGAGAAAAAAAAACCGTCTCCTTACAGAAGGTCTTGCCCGGGTTCGAACCGGGGTTACCAGAATTTTCGTCTCAAAATCTGGAGTGATAACCGCTACACTACAAAACCGCGGACGCCTACGGCGCCTAGCGGCATCGGGTCTCCCGCGGCCACGACCGAACCTGTAAACGCCTGTGTGACGATGATGGAGATTGGAACGTAAGCGATATAGTTAAATTTTCCGCGGTTGTTTCCAGGAACGAGGATAGTTGACGGGCGCGCCAGTTTTTGCGTTCAGTTGGATGAATTCAATTGAGCACACAAAAAGAATGGACTGAAATCGTCCGATATTCATCCCACCTAAGTATGGGTAGTTCAGCGCGGATCGTGGACGCAGGACCACATTAGACCCAGGCTGGACCGGATTCCTCCCGGCGGGTGCATGGAAGATTGGAGCATGCTATTTTTTTCCCTTGTCATTATCCGAGTCGGAAAGCAGATGATGTAAGCTTTTTCTTTTTTGTGGGCCGCCCGGCCATGCAACGGCTATGGGCGGTATACTCAAACTTCAGAAAAAAAGGCGATACGGTTCCAGAGTATACATACCCCTCGTGAGTTGAACGGGGTCTCCGATTCACCAGGACTTCAAGTGGAATTTGAAGTCGGCGTATACTATATGCTAGCGGGGATTATGTGCCAACTCCTGCGGATGTGAAGCTCCGGTTGGGCGAGAAGCTGAAGAGGACGGTTTTGAAGGGAATGGTCTGCGGGTTGTTCAAGAATTGCTCATCCTTGTTCATATGAATACACTCGGTGCCCAGGATCAGCTGAAACGGGCAGGGTTTCAAGTCGCAGTGTTACGGTTAGGACATCTCAGTCTGGAACCAGTCTGGAGGGGATGATATCACATACCCATCGCGCAACAGAAGGGTGATTCGGTAAAAATCGAATTATTGGGAGGGGTCGATTCCAGCAGGTGCATGGCCAGGAATTTTATAACTAGTTTTTCTTTGTTGCTGCTGGAGCGAGCGGTGCTAGGCTATCTAGTCACGCGTCATTGACGAAAAAAAACGAGGCATCCCTTACGGCTGCAACATGCCCCACTCCCGATTTTAACGGGGTCTCCCGGGACGCAACGGAGCTGAAGGTCGTATTAGAAGGCGGCGCATACCAAATGCCAGCGGGGCTCATGATTGTACTGAGACCCACCCATACGAAGGTGTGTGTGAGGTGCCTTCGGGGGAGAGAGCGCGAGGCTCGAAGAGCTAGAGCGACGTCAAGGGTTGATTTGCATCTGTATAGAACAGGGAGCGATGGGAGTAGCGAGGGAGTACGAAACGTGTCGTCGTGACAGGGCATCGTTGAGGATCCTGAGCGAGACAATTTACTCTGACACTCTCGATGAAGAAAACGAAATCCCGTTCCTTGGTAATTTTGACGAACGAGAGCTGTCGGCTACGAACCGCTGCGAACGTGCTTGGATTTGGTGTTGGCAGCGATGTATTAGCACAGACAGTGGGAGCGCCAGAACGTTGTGGACGCACGACAGAACAACGAGGCGCCCCGAACTTGAAGAGGCTGGAGTGAGTAGAATGATCAACCACAAGAAGCGCGCGCATAGTTAGAGATTGCATCTTTCATTTGTTCGTATAGCGTGAGTGCCCAATTCGACGAGAGTAGTTCCTCTGGTTATAGCAGCGATGGGCGTGAGCGTTACTCTGCCAGCAGTCTTTCGTAACTTGAAGCCTGAAGGGCGAGGGCCAAAGAAGTTGCATCCGCCGATACGATTGAGCAAGGCTGAGAGAGAGAGAGCCTCAAAGTTGCGGTCAGCTACCCAGGTATCATTGGCCCAGTCCGGTCCATCAAGCCACGATTCATGTCAAGAAAGAGCAAACAAGGAGGTGGAAAAAGTGGCCGGCCCGGTTGATGACGCGTCACTCATCAGAATCAGATTGCATTACACAGCCGCACGCCTCTCTCTCTCAACCATCATCTCGTCGTTTTCCATCACCACCTGGGTTTCCTCTGCCGGCCTCGAGACATATTAAACACAACCACCACCTGCTACTGGTCCTTATGCTGGGGTCCCAGATCCTCGTGAATTCTCGAGTTTTCGACTCTTGTCTTGACCTGCTCTTGACTCCAAACTCTCTTCTTGCTTCGCATGTTTCTCGCTAATCCCACAATTTGTTTCGCTGGTTGCGTGCGCTCTCTTCCGGAGCCAAGTCGAAAAGGGTATTCGGGCGATCTCCGAACGCTAAATGCCGACTCTGCGGCGGCAACGATGACCCGTTGACTTGGAATGCGGCATACTTTCACAGCCTTTCCTTCGCTTCACCACCCTTCAAATTGTTCCTGGTCTCTTCTGGATCCCTCGATGTGCGTACATCCATTTTCTTGCACATCTGGATTTTCTTGCACATCCCGGTGGTCGTCGTTCTTGGAACTAGCTGCGGGCACGATGCGCTGAGCCGTAGTCTTAGCTCGCGAATATCATCGAATTGTTCCCAGCTCGTGAATCATGAGACCCGTTCGACTCGGGGTCGAGCCTTTATGTCGGACTCTTGTTTTCTTGTCAACTTCTGGCAAAAGCGGGCGTCGTCCTCTCCCTTCTCAAAATCTCTTTTCCATGGGGCTCTGTTTCAATATGCGGCTTGCGGAAATGCTCAGCGTTCTACAGCTCGTCCATACGGCTTCCATCTTCAATGGTATGCAGCCGTCCCAAAAGAAAAAAGCAACATCTAATTTATGCCCTTGACGACCTGCCCCCGAATCGAACGGGGTTCCGCGCAAAGACGTCGACTTTCGTCAAGCTACAGTGCGCAAGTGCAGCCCGTCCGTCTGCAGGCCTTGTGTTACGCATTGCGGATCACCACTCATATGAAGGCGATGATTGTTAATAGTGCCAATCCGTCACAGGCGCCGGGGGAAGACATCGACGGAATTCGTTCGATGAGTACCCAGATACCCCTCGCCGCAGTCGTTACTCCTACTTGTCGCGGAACGACACGTTATCCTGCTGATTCGCAATCATCCATATACCTCGATCCTTGTCTCGAGCTGGACCGTACCACTCTCTGCTACCCCGCCTGTCTGCTCCCTAGTCGTCATGGCTCGCCTACGATCTTTGTCGTTCTCCAGTGGCTTCCTGGCCAGGATACAAGACGAATCCTTGCTGTCGACAAGAAGGGTGCGTGGATTTTCCCAGCCAGCCTGCTTCTCGGCACACCAGGAAAGGACGTTGAGTAACCTTTGCAGCTCGTGCTGCGTGGATTGGCGGCGCACTCTTAATGCGTGGATAAGTGTCGGCGTCGGGCTGTGATCTTCACCCTGTGGCGCAGGCTCCGACGCTTTCCTCCAGCGAGCGCGTAGTTTTCGCGCGCTTCTAGGTCACTGTACTTCCAACCTCGGCGCAATATCCACCTCGAGACAGCGATGCTTTGGTTGAGCCCAAGGCGAGTCGTCACTGGTGAAAAAAAATTGGCATCTTAACCTCTGCGTACACCGTTTAGCTTCGTCAGGCGGAACAGGCAGTGGTACCTCACACAGGTATCATTGTTCGATGGCGAGCGCGCACCGTTTGATAAACGGCCTCACAGAACTCAAACGGAAGTAACTTGTCATCAAGTACTAGAGAATGTGCGAAGACTTCGCCAGTGAACATCGAGCGAGGGTTGTTGCGTACGTCCCGGAAAGGAATCGCGCTGACGACGTACCCGGTGGGTGAGTTTGAGTTTGGGCTAACATCTCCCCTTTATATACCAGCGCGCGGACCGAAGCACCGACTACTAAACCGACGACCGCAGATGATCGGATTATCCGTTCCGATACTTTGTGGACAATAGGATTTTTTTTCTACGTCGAACTGTGTAATCCTAAGACATGTTCTAAGTAATCTACAAGTAATGCAAAGTAGTGAATTTGCACAAGAAAGCCAGAAACGGAGTGGGGTGATAGGATGGGATAGGATAGGACTCACTGAGGATAGGACTCACTGTTACACCAGATCCCATAGCACGGAGAAGGAGAGTGATACTCCACGAAAGGATTAGAACCACGATTGGAATTAGGATGTGAAACGACTCACCGTTCATCGGCAGTCCCGGCTTGGAAATTTCAAGGGTTTCTGCGCGAAAGGATTAGGGTAGGGGCGGATAGGATTGAACAGGATAGGATAGGATGAGATAGAATGAAGCAGAATGGGATATGGGTTCGTCGTCGGTAGGATAGAGTACGATAGGATAGGATAGGATAGGATTGGGTGGCACAGGACAGGAAAGGAAAGAATCGGACGTGGTGGGATGGGATGGGACAGAGAACAAAAGGGACACAATAATATCTCTTCAGGTCAAGATGATCATCCTATCGCAAGCCGAAGGGTCCTTGAATCAGTCTCGTTGGCCAGGATGTCAAGGGATTGCTACAATGCTGACATACTATCAAAAAGTCGGCACGGACTCGCGGGATCTTCAAAAATTCTTGTGTCGTATCTGTGGGAGTTGAGATTTTCCAGGCTATTCTGCGGATACCTGGTGCATAGCATGGTGTTATAAGTAGCGTTGAGACTGGGCATGTCCAACGTTGCCACCCGTACGAGTGGCGACAAAGTGGCGACCAAATCTTGCGTGCATGGGGACCAGCCAGAGTTATCCAGATCAAGCCAAGGGTCAGCTCATCGACGGAAAGCCGAGCGATTCCGAGTCCGCGTTGGGCTGTAGAGGAAAGCGGGCATGGTGGTGGTCGAGGACAAGGAGCATTGTTTGTCTGTGTAAATGCCGTCACATCGATCGGACTCTGCCCGCTTTGATCCGTTCCTATTGTTCTCCCGTTTGTTCCACCTCGCTTTGTTTCTTCTATCTTGACACCGCTCCTTCCGAGACCGACTTGTTCCTTCCCCTGCATCTCCCCGGTCTGTACTTCGATCTCTTCGTCAACCGTGCAGTACTCATTCCGCGCCGAAAGATATTTCAATTTTCAACCACGAACGGCGAGTGACGACTCGTCATCGTAGATATCTCGCTGAGGCAGGTTGGGTCCTTTTCGCAGTGGCACAACCAATGTTCTGGGCGACGTTGACGGTATATGGTCCGAACAGAATTTAGCTGAGACGTCAGTGCACACCCTGTCTT